GCTCCCACGGCTTCGATCAGTCAGAAGCTGAGCTCGCAGCGAAGCCCGCGGCTGTGTGACCTTTGGCCAACAAAAATGCAACCCTCTGTTGTTTGTTTTTATTTTATTTTTTTCGGGGGGGAGGGTGGGGGTGGGGAGTTTTCGTTTTTTTTTGGGGGGGGTCCTCGCGCCGCGTAGAGGAGAAGAGATACTGCCGCCTGTCACTCGTCCCTTCGTCCCTTTCCCTGCGGTGAAAAACCTCGTTCGTCCGGAAGAACCTGTCCATTCCTACGTCATGTCGTCCCTTGTTCTCAGGGACTTGACGGGCGGAGCGAGAGAGGGGGGTGAGATGGGGTGAGGTTGGGAGGTATAGGGGTGGGGGGGGTTGAAGGGAGCCCTGCTTTAATTTTGGTGGCTTTTGGATTTGTTACCCGAAAAACTCCCGGCTCATTGCGCCGCCCGAAAAATTTGGCTTCGTTCCCTCCAAGCCTAAGGCCTCGGCTGTTGTCATGTGATATTTGCTTTCGGAGACTTAGCAGTTGGTTTACATTTCACAGGACACTCACACATATTCAGAATCACTGCCCAAATATGTGAACCAACTGCATACAATATGACTACTACACCAACATGACAATGTATACCTCACATGTTTTAGCATCTTGTCCATGTCGCAGCGACATATTGAGAATGCCCAAACACTGAGGCGGCGACATGGACAACGCCTCCTTCATCGCGTCGCCTTGGAGCCCAGAGAAGCACTTCGTTGACACAGAATCATCAGCTTGGTGGTTCCTGGGCATCCGGTTCCTTCGGCGAGGTTCCGTTTTCTTTTTGGGGGGGTTTTAGGTATTTACTTGGCTTAGTTTCCACTAAAAAGGTCGAAACAGTCAGACTTCTACCAAGGGATCTGGGAGCAGCCCTGATAGGAAAAGCAAACATGAGCCCAGGGGGTATCATTCATCAAAAACCTTTCAGGAACCCTAGCTGCGGGTATCCCTGAATCTAATAGTCGTAAAGATAAGTCGGCTCATTAGAAGTAGCGTTGGTTTCATTTTGACCTACCAACCGGTGGAGAGTGTTTTGTTGGGACCTACAACAGACTCCGTGCTTGCCCTTTGAACATGCAGCTATCGGACTCTCAATTGCCACGGGGCTCTACATGTTCATTAGTCAACTCTGGACTTGGTGGCTCCAAGGCATCCGGTTCCTTAGCCTTCTAGCTGTTCACTAACAGTGGTTGGATGTCCATTCAACCCGCTAAAAGTCAGTCACTTTTAGCGGGGGATCTGAAAACGGACAGCCCAGTTTCGTCAAAGGGGAGCCAAGAAAAAATGGGCGAGTTTCGTCTCTCCAGATTTCGGGAAACGACCCACTGATGGCTACCGTGAGGTTAGATCCCATGCTCCGAGAGGAGGTGCTGATGACAGCGCCGGAGGAGTTCCGAGGGAAGCCGAAGTTTTGCGTTCGCAAAACCGGTTGCCCGGCTGGCGCTCGTTTTTCCTCAACCTACAACCTAACAAAGATTGCTTCCCCTCTAAGCATTTGTGCTTGGCTTGCAGTGATCAGTGGCCAATCCTACTTTGTTTTGTGGGGGGTATGTTTGAGACAAGCCCTTGTGCCACAGCCTCTGTTCCCTCCTAGTGCACATGTTGGCTCAAGATGCAGGTGCCCATTGGTGTCTGCAACAAATTGTTTTCTTCTTGTTGTCCCTTTAAACCACAAACAAAGGCGTGCCCGCAGAGAAAGCAAGCCAGCCACATAGGGTAACCAGTAAAGCCAAGGCCATTGGCCAGCCAGGAAGTCTTGCAGACTTTGCCGGCCGAGCTGGTGGCAGAGGCAGGGGGCGAAGCTGACGCTGCGCTTTGCGCAGTAATAGCAATTAACTCTGCGAGTTCCTGCAGGGTGTCCGAGCTATGGGTTTCTCTTTCTTGGAACCTCCAAATGCGGGCGATTTCAATGGGCACCACCAGCAAATTGGAGCCTTTGACGGGGAAATCCAGTGACACCGTCCCAGACTTTCGACTTTTGGGGGAAGTGGCAGAACACAGAAGTTTGGACTTCGGCCAATCCACTCGCCAAGTGAGTTTATCAGATTTGGCCATGGGTCAAAAGCCCGTACCCCCAGTGAACATCCCAATTCCCACCAAAACAGACTAAAATGGGTGGTGCACCTGCCCCAAAATGGTACCATTGGTTTTGACCCACAGCCATTTGGAGCTATCAATCTGTTGCAGGGGCTTCCAAAATCGGAGGCAGTTTTTGTTCTTTCCCTGGGCGGGTTGCACACCTTGGAAAAAACGAACAAGTGATTTGTGATGTGGGTTGAAGGAGTCTAGTTGCCATGGTGCAGGCACAGATGATCCGTGACAGGGCCTTCATGCGCATTGCGAGGGAGGCGGGCTGAGACGTCTCTATGGCCGTCCAGTGGCTCTATGCACCGGTTTGGATGGCTGGCTGGCTGGCTGGCTGGCTGGCTGGCTGGCTGGCTGGCTGGCTGGCTGGTTGGTTGGTTGGTTGGTTGGTTGTGCAATCTCGTGCATTCCAAAGGCGTTAAGCCACTCTTGGTTTTGGTTGTTGTGTTTCCACATTTATAAGCGGCAAGCCTTAAGATATTCATATTGCTGTTCACCGATGCTGGAGCCAAGGATGCAGGGATGATTACAATCCCTCTCACGGAGCCCGAGAGCCTGCCTGTAACTTTATTAGTTGGCACATCGTACATGGTGATAGTTAACGGAGACGTCCTGCTTTGCTTCGGTTTTTCTTGTTATGCTAGGGCCCGCCGCCGCAGCCAGCGCCAGTCCGACCGGACTTGTCCTCGGTACATGCGCTTGTGCGTGTGTCCGCATGCGTGTGCGTGTGTGGGAGAGAGATAGAGAGCGAGAGAGAGAGAGTCAAAGGTTGCTTCCTGGTTCTATTCGAAACCGTCAAGGGATTCACCCGTTTTGAGACATGGGCATCAAAGAAGTTGCTTTGTCGAGGATGAGGGTAAGCATTGCTCATGAACGTAGGCCAGCGCAGGTGTCAGTTGCCCTTAGAGTTCCATTGTTTGATTTCCGTTATACCCAAGAGCGCCTGCACCGGGTGCTTCACACATGAACTGTCTCCAAGTCCTTTTGGAGGGGTAGCCAGCAAATATATATATTTTTGCGGAGAAATGGTCTTTTAGCTTGGAATCCTCAATTCAGCAGCGTGGGGGAATCCCTTGCCCCCTCGCTGGTTTTTGTGAGGATTCGTTCAGAGAAGTCCCTTGCCCCGAGGAGAATCTCTGCGCGTCTCGTTGACGAATTTGAGTTGCCACCCGAGGCTCCAAGACCACAGCCACGTCCAGTGGCCAGACAACATCAATACCTCCAGGCCCGGGTTTCCCGTGGTTCCCAACGCAAGTGGTTGATGCCTTGGCCAAAAGGCAGTGCCTCGGATACACCCCACTTGCTGTAGCCTTTTTGGCAGGAACGGCAAGCAGTCACCTCAGACCGTGTCATGGCGCATCGCCGAGGCTCCTCATTTTTACCAGTTGTGGAATGACTTTTGCGGGGGGCCCCGCCCCGCCCGGCCCCGCCCCGCCCCGCCCCGGACTGCCGTTTCTGGCAATTTGGCCATGAGTGCTAATCTGGACCCCCCTGCAAAGCGGCTAGACACCAAATGCCACCTAATCTTGTCTACCAAAATGTTCCCCATCGAAATTCGTTCCCTACCCGTGCGCGTGTCATTTCCCGCGCGAGCCAAAATTGTCTTGGACCCCTAAACATGTGCTGGGTGTTCCTCTTGGTTTCGCTTATCCACCTGACAAGGGCGTCGTTTTTGTTTTCCCCCCGCGACCACGGCGACGGCAGGCTATGGAACAACAACTTTCGCAGGGAGGCGGGAGTTTGTTGGACCTCCAGGGTGCTTGGAGCCCCCAGGCGGACAAACAGACAAGTAAGAGAAACATGTCCCACCAACCACATTCGAGGTAGTTCCCTTACTTTTCAATTTCATAGCTGTTTTTTTTGTTTGAGGGGAGCGATGGACACTTAGGCACGCTCTGTATTTTTTTCAGGAATGTTGCTCTGCTCTGGGGGATGGAAGCATTGACAGGATGTTGTTTGTTGACTGTTTTACATGTATCTAAACGTGCTCCAAGCTGTACATCAAAATCACAAAGATATAACATCACGCCCTTGGTGCCGTTTGTTTGTGTGTGTGGTTTGCTTATAAAATGGTAGACAGCCTGGCGAGTGTATTTCAAAGACAATCGAGATCAGGATTGAGATTCAGGATCCCAGGCCCCTCAAACATGGAATTGCGGGAGGGGTGACCCTGGAATTCCATTTATGGTTCCAGGAAGGGAAATGGAAATTGGGTACCCCACCCCCACCCTCTGAAGGTCGGATTTCTAGCGCTTGACGGCGCAACAAACACGTGCTCCAGCACCTTTCCGATGTCCCATCGCCAGAAATGTTCGGCGGGTCTTCGGAAATCCGCAGCTTCGTCGGATTCCATTCTGACCTTAGGAACACCCGCCTTCCTGAGACACATGCGAGGGAGTGCATTTGGCGAGCTCTGGGGGGCTGAGCTGGTCGTTTAGCAAAAACTATCAGTTCGGGCTACTGAAAAACGGTGGTTGGAGAGTGCACTTTCGAGAAAGGTTTGGTCAAATGTCCGATCTATGGTCTCTTCGGTGAAATGGACTCACTAGATTCCAGCCACGTCCCACGGAATTTCGCGCTTCTCCGGCGAAGTCGCAAGTTTCAGCGGAGTCACTAATTTTTGCATCCGTCAGCGCAAGAGGGTCATTTGGCTGTGGTTGTCAAAAAATAGGCTAACCCCAAAATGGGTTGCCCTGGCAAATGGAAGCATGGACCAAAACCTGCGGTCCGATTCCTGGTAGTTTAATTTTGACCCATACCCATTTTGAGGCGTCGCATGCTTGCCCCAGATTTTCTGGCAGGTCGCAGACCCTTCCTTCACGGCATGGATGGCCGTGTGAGACAGGCCGAGAGCTGTGGGGGCTGAAGGTCGCTGGAGCGATTTGG